GTGCTGCATATGCTCAGTTTATATATAATTTTAGGGCAATATTTTTATTTGTCCATCCGTCTGCTTGCTACTAAAAAAGAGATAACATATTAAAACTCGACGCATATATACTTTGTTCAATTTAAGAAATTTGATGTAAACTTCACTGTCAACAGTCTAAGGTATAATAAAAGTACACTGTTATGATAGCACAAATTAAGGAAAATTATCTCTAAAAGTACCAAACAAATTCATATATGTACATATATATTCATCATTAATCTGGAAGATAAATTGAAAATCTTCATCAAACGATAGAGAGGAAGTGTAGGGAAACATATTTCCCACACATAAGAAAAAATCCTTATCGATTTCTCTAAGAGACAGCGTTACTCTGGTCTGTGAACATTTGCTACAAATAGCGTCTATGGCATTGAATTGCAATTTAAAAGCGAGATTAAAAGTAATTTAATTGGTGTCCTGTAGGGAATTGTTGTTGCTTGCGTTGACTTTCTTATTCAATTAAAAGAAAATTTTAAACAAATTATGATTGACTCTTGATTTCAACGATTTAAAGGCAGTAATTCCAAAGTGAAAGGCGAACGGCATCTGGTAGCACAACAAAAAAATTGTGAATTGCTCTCGGTATTAGATGAAATCACCAGGATGACTGACTGCCAACAGGAGCTGCCGATACAGAACTAGGGACATCCCAGACTGCGATCTCTCCATACCTCTTTTTGCTCACTTCTCGTAGCTGGAGAGAGTAGTTGGCCGGCACTTACCAAGCTACGGCTACTTCCTATTCGTCTCACCCTCATTTCTTTCGGACCATCATCGGGTTACACATGCGCGAGACATCCCCTGAATAACTAATCATTTATAAATAAGTAAGAAAACCTAAAAGATAAAACAAGCAGAACAACAAAATTTTCGTGCTCTATAATATGGAGTTGGTGCAGCCGATTTCTTCTATTTTCAATACTTTTCAAAACTTAAAAAAAAAAAGTGGGCGTTATAGGTGTGTCCTTTGAAAAGTCTAGTTTAGGTCAATTTCAAATTCTTTGGGAAATTTGCAGGCGATATCTTCATTTTCGCTGACGGGAGAATGTTTAATACAAATATTACAAAGTTGCGGAAACAGACAAATGAGAAGACGAACAGGCGGACTTGTTTAGGTGAATTCCACATTTGAAACTGGCACAAACGCTACAGCAACGCTCATAGCATGTGCGTTCAAATTTTTGTCCATTTATTTGCTATATTTTACGGGTAATGAGCAAAAACCAATTTTTCACTTCCTTGGATAAACAGAGGTGTTCTCAGTTTACGCGGTGCTTCAACCGATTTGGCCCATTTTCAATAGTAATCTGGGTGCACGAGCTTCCCCTATGAATGAATATACCTCTTATCCTTCGATGATGAGTATAAAAAAATTATTTGGCTTCAGTGGCGTAGATATTTTATCACAAAAACGAAAGTAGACGATCATGCGCACGATTATGCATATAATATGAAGTATTGTTACGAAATTCGATTTTCGGGGATACGATTCGTATCACTAAATCGGGGATATACTTTTTAAGAGAAGTACACTTGCACGTTTTCACTGCAAGACTGTTTTATTTGTAATCAATTTGTTTAATGGTAGGATTATTTACATTTTGCTTTGGCAATACTCTCGACTTCCCAACTCTAATACTCTTTGCTGACTCAAATGTTGTTTTCCGACTCAAATGTTCTTATCCGACTGACGCTGCCTTCCGCAAGCAGTCTATTTTTACAAGCATATTACTATTACTTATGTTGGTGGCTTCAGTTTTAATCCGTTAACCTGCTGTTCCGCGTATCATTTTCCTCGAACGGCAGCTGCATGACGCGCCGCGAATGTGCACTTGGTTTTTCCCTCTCTAGAGAATTTATTTTTTAGGAAAATCGATTAGTTGGAATAAAAAACGTAACAGTATTATTATTGTATTTTGTTTTCTAATAAGTAAAAATATGAAATTTACAATATTAAATTAGATATATTTATATAAATTTAACTTAGACAATCTAAAGTTTAATTAGACGATCTAAAGTTACCAATTCTACATTGCTTATGTTTAAAAACATGCAACCAATTTAAGTCTGCTCTAGCGTGAAGATTAATTCACCACGTTGTTGTTTGTTTATTATTGTTAAGAAAAATTTAATCCCGCTTGACGTGGTGTCCGCCAAACTTAATATAGAATTAAAACACTTGTGCTATCGCATTCTATTTTGCAAGTTTTTTTATTTAATACCTATATCGATGGTATTGTGAGGAAAATATTAATCCACCAGGTCGAGGTGTCCCACATTTTTAGGCAGGTAACATATCATCATTTGAGGGATGTACAAAATCATCATTCTGTCTTATTCACCTTAATCAGCATAAAATCTCAAAAAGGTGAATAAAAGAAAATTTAATCACTTTTTGTGGGCATGGCCGAATTTTTCTAGTTTTGGACAAAAATGGTACAGATTTCCGTAAAATAAACATCAGCCTTCTATATTTCACAATTTGCGAGTAATGAGCAAAAACCCACAAGATTTTTGTTTAGAGAAACGGAGTTACGCTCACGTTACGCTTCACTGACAGTGAGTGCTCTGACTAATTTGGCCCATTTTCAATACCAATCGGCGTACAAAGGCTTCCAGTGATTTTTCCAAACAACGCAATGATTGTATCAACAACACACACTACACAGACACAAAGGCGGACAGATGGACAGATGGACAGATGTACATACATGGCTTAATATTCTCTAATATTCGATTCGAAAATTAGAGATGGAAAAAACTTTCTATGGAATTTAAACGTTAAACGAGTTTTTCTTTAAGCTCTTTCTCTCGACTTTGCCGTACTACTGGCTCTTTCACTTTGCAACCGATTGCGGAATTTGCAAAATGCTTAGAAGATTTTCAAACGATTTTCGAAGAAAAAAACTTCAAAGACCAAAATTTTTTTTCCGAAGAAAGGACCCACGCTATTCAAAAGATATTGGGTCATGTTTTTACAATATTTTTTGGGAATTGCTCTGAGTGAAAAATATGCAACTTTTAGCGGTACGGCAAGGAAGCTCAGGGAACAGAAGCATATTTCTATGCACTTTAAAACTTTTAAGACTTGTTCCATTACACGTGAAAATCTAAATATTAATGAATCTTTTCATTTTTCATACTCTGCATCGCTTGCGGCACAAGAGTACATTAACTTTTTGCGGAAGCATACATCACCCGCAAGGAATTGAGATAGACTTACCTTCTATTATATCAACCAATTCAGGATAACTCTGCGATCAGAATCACTGTTTGCTCAAAATCGCTTTCTGCATCGATCTAAGCTTGTCTGTCCGCCTGTCCACTTGTCCATCCGTACGTCTTCTTTCCTTTTCTTCAACTTACAGGTTACAATTTTTGAGATATTTTGATGAAATTTGGTACATCCACATGTTTTGTTGGCCTAAAGACGCAGTAGTTCGGATCGAATCGCTTTCCCGATCACTTTTCATATAAAATTTTTTTGTAAAGACCGCTATATGAATAATTATGGTGGGTGGTGTAGGATGTGCTTTTTACCCGTTTTTAAATAAATTTGAACTATCTCCCAATTTTTAGTGAATACAAGGCTGGATATACATTCTTAAGGCGAAGGGCGTTCAAATACTGTTTTAAAATTATTTCAACTATTTCACTTGCTTTTCTCCAACTTTGTTCTTGTTTAATACTACGACCTTTGAATAAAGTATGCTGAAATCTGATTAATGGCCACTTAGACATGGATTGCCTACTGCTTTAAGTATGAAGCGAAGCAAGAATAAAGAAAACTTTGACATACTATTGACATGGACTATTAGATAAATACATCATTAGCTAAACAACTGCTTACTTATGTTGTTACGACCTAACTATGAGCGCATATGTTTATACGTATGTACATATGTTTTCATACATTTTCCGCTATCAGTAGTCATCGGTACAGAGGCTTTAGAAACGAAAAATAAAAAACAGAACAAGGCGGTAAAAAGAAAAAATTTAGGTTCTGTCTCCAAACAAACAAATCATAACATACAAACATATATTGTAGCTGCTTAAAGCAGAGTGATCGATGGCCTAAAAAACTTTCGATAAGTGCAAAATTTCTTTTGTACTAAAACATATGCATTAACACAGGTGTATATGTTTATAAATTTATATATATATTTTTATATATGTATATATAAATAGAAACGTATTTGTACTTATAATGCGTCTGTGCTTTCATTTAGTAGTGCAAAGGCTTAAACAAAGCTTAGAAAGAATTATCACTGCACTGCCCTATTAAGTATGAAGTTGGACACTAATGTTGCGCTCTTTATCTATGTTTTTGAAATCACTGCAGAATACGTACCAACTGATGGCCTAACTTCTTTAGGAAGGTGCTTTCAACATTTTAAACATTAACAGTCAAAGCTATATGTCTATACATATGTTCATAATTTCCACTTTGACCTGTTAAAGCGATTTGTAAAGCACTGTTCTTTTCTTTTGTTTCCTAAACACTAATGCATCTTAGACGTTGGTCTTATTAACCTCATGAGGTTGCAAGTGTCGTGAAAATGGGAAAAAAACACAAACAGAAACACTGTCGTGGGACAATACCCAATACCACTTCGTTTAATACAATGATTCATGTAACGACTTTTTAAAATTATGTTTTATACAGGAAGTGATCGAAAAGTTGATCCATTTTCATTAATGTTCGTACTTAGGTCAAAATAGTGCACTTAATGTCATCAAAATATCTTAAAACTTCGGACCTGTAGTTTAAAGACAAAAAAATAAGAAGGACAGATGGACAGACAAAACAGCTCAGAAAAGGTGGGTCTATTTTCCATCTTTCCAGGTGTTGCAACCCCATCTGTGCATCCGCACGAACTTAATATACCCATGTACCGCAAGTAATATAGGGTATAGATATTTGACACTGATCTAAAAATTTTCTTCTTATATTTCAGATATTACTTGTGTAAGCGCTACCTCCAAAGAAGCATATTTTAATGGCTCAGCATATTTGCGTTTATTATCTCCTATGCCCATATGGGATCACTCAGCAATTAGTTTTCGTTCCTGTCGCGGTAAGTTAAAATTTCATCATTTTCTTCCTCTGCCTCTGTCTCTCTACCTAAAAGATTGTCAAAATCTTTCTCTTTCATTTATTTATATTTGATACTACGACAGGTGGCGAAATTTTGGCTCAACAATATAATAAAAATTCAATTGTAATCTCTGTGCTCAATGATTTCTTGCAAATCTCCTTAGCGGGACCGGCCGTTATTGGACCCAATAATCGCGTCGACGTTAAATACTCCTATCATTTATTAGATAATCGCTGGCACACATTGCAGTTCAAATATGAATATGGAAATTTACTTTTGTATATCGATCGTGAAGCTCGCATATTTGGTGAGTTATTTCTTAACTGAAAACTCTCGTAGTAATCTTAAATATTATCATCTATTTGCTTGGTTTTTAGCTAACTCCACTTTTAATAGTCAATTTTTAACTAACAAGGACATAGGGAATGAGGCAGCTATTCTAATTTTGGGTAATTCGTTTACTGGTTGCCTGCAAGATGGTCCGGGCTTACAATTCTTTAACGATTCAATGACTGTACAGAATGCTGTGTTCGGCCCTTGTCCTTTAAGTCATAACCCTTGCAGTGATCATGATACTCCATTCCGTAATCAGGATTATTGTTTTAATGATCCTTGTATGGGCCACGGCGCTTGTATATCTCAACCGGATCGCTACGAGTGCCGGTGTACTGCCCGCTATTCTGGTAATAATTGTCAAAAAGACGACGGACCTCCCTGTGATCGTAATCCTTGTTCAAACAGTGGCACTTGTTATGAGGATAGTCGCGGTGACTATCAATGCCTTTGTTCGCCCAATTTTACGGGCAAACATTGTGAGACTGAGATAAATGTTAATCCGCTATGTCAAGTAAGCCCTTGTCAAAATGGTGGCGCATGCGTGGTAGCACCCGGTACTTCAACAATTGAATGTGAATGTGCGAAGGGTTATGCAGGTGCACGTTGTGAAGTCGATAAAGACGATTGTGCCTCACAGCCTTGTCAGAATAATGGTAAATGTGTGGATCGAGTTAATAGTTTTGTATGCGATTGTACGGGCACCGGGTTCACCGGTCCCTTTTGTCAAACTAATGTCGATGAATGCGATGAAAACAAACCATGTCACAACCTCGGACGTTGTTTCGACACTTATGGCTGGTTTATATGTCAATGTCTAGATGGTTGGGGCGGCGAATTGTGTGACAAACCTATCAGTTGTCAAACTCAACAATGCTTAAACGGTGGCACTTGTCAAGATAAATCCATTGGTTTTCAATGTATCTGTCCCCCGGAGTATTCGGGCGAGTTATGCCAGCAAGGACCACCGCCTTGCCCTCAATGCCCAATCGACTCTGAGTGTATAAATGGAAAATGCGTCTGCAAACCGGGCACTGCAGGTAAGTGAAATAACACAATAAAGTCATTTCTTGCCACAAAAAAAAAAAAAAAAAAAAAAAAATTAAAATTAAAATTTAAATATGGTTTTAATTAAGCATATCATAAAGGCATGTGGTTTAAGGCGTTTGCATCGTTTGTGTATCGGTGTGGTTTTAATATTTTGTTTCTTTTTTTTTCCTTCTTCTTCATTGATACATACTTTCTTTCACACTCTATCACGGCAAGCTTCAAATTCAGTTTGTTTATATGACGATTATGAAAAATTCATTAGCAAAAAAAGCAAACGCTACATACCGCCCGAGTGGCTGAAAAAGAAGAGATGTGAGCTTAAATTGAGTATGTTTTGAATACCACTATTCAAATCAAAATAAACAAAAAAAAAAAAAAACAAAACCTCATGTGTTTTAAATGTGTTGAAAGTGTAAAATATTCTTTTGTTTACGCTTTTTATCTCTCTTTCTTCTTTGTCTTTCTCTTTCTATCTGTCATTCATAAGCACACCTAAAAAACCACTACTGTGGTTCTCTCTTACTCAATCTGACATTACACGGGGGCTGTAGGATGAGTGCTAATCCGGAGTGCTGCAGCAGCACGATTTTTATCAGAAATTTTCAATATAACATATACTCAGTTTTCTTTATTAAAGATTTTTCTGTAGCCGACAGTTGTCTCTAATCAAGGGTTTAAGGGTTTAACACTTTAATTTCTTACATTTGTTGCCAACGCTTAAGCTTTTTTGTTTTTTTTTTTCTTTTTATGTGAGTAGAGTATGTCTCATGCGTGTGCGGACACACGTTTGATTAGGCAGTATTATAGGCAGAGAAGGAGATTTTCATCCTTTGTAACAAACTCTCGTAACTTCTTTCTCATAAAGATTGAATTGTAATAACTTGCATGATGACCGGGCTGTACTCCTCTGATGCTTGTTTTTGGATCGTTCTTTTTCTTCAAACAACTGAGAAGTACGGGGAAACGTAGGGTGACCGTAAAATGTTGAACACGAAACTTCTAAAAAACGGCAAAAAAAATATAAACCAAAGAATGAAGCGTGGCAAGGCGTCTAGGGCAAGAAAGAAGACAAGATGCTTAAATAAGAGATGATAATCGTTCGCTTTCATTCAAATCATATCTCCATTCCTAAATAGTTAGCTTGCCTTTGACGGATTACTTGATGCGATTTGCTAAATATTACTATAAACACTAATCAAAACTGTCTCTTTATTGGTCCATCAATCAATGCGAAGAAACATTTTACCCAGATTGTAGCTCAGTTTATATTATGGAATAAACAATTCTTCAAATCTAACTAAGAGGGTATATGCTCCATATATTAATTTGGCGTTTTTTTTTTTTGGTCCGAAAAGCGATAGGCGTGAGCTTAAGATAGGAACTTATAATACAGCCCTCGATTGAATTTTAAGAGACATCGAAACTCTTTTCTAATGCTTAACAATTTTCTCCCTTTTTCTTTCTTTCTCTCTTTCCCACACTACTACATCACACGGCTTATATTTTTTGTGTCCCCCCCATTAAGCTAATGAATGGTTAAATATTTTGTTGTACATATTATTGTGTATTTATTGTTATCAATTGAAAGAGTTACCAAATTTTTTCGGTTTGGTATTTTGGTAATTAATTTAGGCCCAATTGGTCATTGTGTACCAACAACACCGACCACAGATCTACCAGCGTTACCAAGTAATAATCCTACAACTCCTACATTACTAGTAAACAATGTACCGCAATATCGTTCGGCTCAATTGAATGCATGCTCTTCCGATAATTGCTTAAATGGTGGCACTTGCCAGGGATTTGATACCAATTATACATGTATTTGTGCTAGCGGATATCAAGGTTTGACTTTACTATCTATGTAATGCTTATTAAATATAATCCTAGTATTGTATGATTAGACTAACAATAAACCCTAAGTTAATTGAAACGTAACAACATTCTTACGCTTACTAAGCTTAACATACTTTCGAAATAGGTTTCAATTGTGAACTACCTTCTTTGGAGGGTACTGTCAGCGTTCCCCCTGGCAGTTGCAAGTGCTTGAACGGCGGCACATGCTCATTAAATGGCACTCATTGCTATTGCCCGTCAGGATATTTGGGAGATCGTTGCGAAAAATTGGAACCTTGCACTGCGAACAATTGTCAAGATCCTATGGTATGCTCTCAAAATAAATGTGTGTGTCCCGAGAATAAATTATGTACGAGTTGCGCACAACAACCATGTAGAAATGGTGGCGCCTGCTATGACTTACCTAATGGTGACTACGAATGCAAATGTACGAGTAGCTGGACGGGACGCAATTGCATGAAGGATGTCGACGAATGTTTAACTTCACCGAAAATATGCGGTAATGGTATTTGCAAAAACGAAGAAGGCTCGTATAAATGTTACTGCACGCCAGGCTTCACGGGCATACACTGTGATTCCGATGTCGATGAGTGTTTAAGTCATCCTTGTCAAAATGGAGCTACTTGCAATAATAAGGTAAGCTTTAAATGTTAAAGTAAGTTAGCTCGGGGTACCGTATGTAGGGATTATTTAGATATACGTTACTAAATCATAATTAGCTGTTTTTCTTTAAATACGGAAAGCATCGGATTTTAAGACAAGTGAGTTATACGTTCCTAAGCGATCCTAGCTTTTCAAAGTCCCAGAAATAGATGCAAAGCTAGCTTGCCCTCCTTGCCATTTACGTTTGAGCTCCAGTCAATAAGCTAAGGTCTTAATGTTTTTTCTTTACTGTGTTTTCATCCTTTGCCCATAAGATCAACGCTTATGAATGCGTTTGTCTACCCGGTTATACGGGAATTAACTGTGAGATAGACATCAATGAGTGCTCCAGCAACCCATGCACGCCTGGTTCGAAATGCATTGATTTAATTAATAACTTCACATGCTCTTGCATACCGGGCATGACAGGACGTTTTTGCGAAATTAACATTGATGACTGCTTTGATAAGCCTTGCCAACATGGCGGAAAATGTATCGATGAATTGGGTGGATATCATTGCAATTGCACGGGAACTGGTTATGAAGGACTTAATTGCAGTTCAAATATTGATGAATGCGCCACAAATCAATGTCAGAATGGTGCTGAGTGTATTGATAAAGTTAACGATTACTTCTGCAAATGCCATCCCGGCTTTCGGGGTAAAAATTGTGAAATTGATATCAACGAATGTGAAAGTAACCCGTGCTTATACAACGGCAACTGTTTGCAGAGGTCCAATACTACCCTGTACTCTTTGAGTCAAAGCATGAATTTGCCTGCCGTCTTCAGCTATCCGTTCAGTTTTGAAAATGCTAGTGGGTAAGTCATTTTACCTTATTATCCGATAAGGATAGATTAATGAAAATATTTGTGACGTGAACAGGCACGAATGTGTTTGTGTGCCCGGTGTAATTGGCAAGAATTGTGAAATCAACATCAACGAATGTGAAAGTAGTCCTTGCAGCAAACATGGTACTTGCAATGATGGTGTAAGTTCTTCCCGATGCTCTAATTATTTAAATAACTTTTCACATTTTTTACAATCAGATCGGTTCGTACACTTGTGAATGTGAACCGGGTTTTGAGGGCTTCCATTGTGAGATCAATATTGATGAGTGCGAACGTTATCAGCCTTGTGGAGACCATGGCACTTGCATCGATCAGACAAATGATTATGAGTGCGATTGTGATATGCTATATGGTGGCAAAAATTGTTCAGTGCTTCTAACGGGCTGTTCCGAAGGACCTTGTGCAAACAATGGCACATGTAAACCGTATTTAGTGAATGAAACTGAACACCTCTATAATTGCTCTTGCCAGCATGGTTTTCAAGGTGAAACATGTGAGAAGACAACTACGATCTCGATGGTAGTTAGTAGCTTAATTACCGTTAAAACTCAGCGGGAGGAAGGCTATGATATAAATTTACATTTTCGTACAACTTTACCAAATGGTGTATTAGCGTTTGGAACATCAGGTGGACAAAATGAGCCCGTCAGCTACATTTTGGAACTAATTAATGGACGACTGAACTTACATTCATCACTGCTTAACAAATGGGAAGGAGTTTTCATTGGTTCAAATTTGAATGATAGCAATTGGCATAAAGTGTTCGTAGCCATTAATACGTCACATTTAGTTTTATCGGCAAATGACGAGCAAGCTATATTTCCGGTAGGATCCTACGAGACTTCTAACGGCAGCCAGCAGCCTTCATTTCCCCTAACCTATTTAGGCGGTACGATACCTAACCTGAAATCATATCTGAGACACTTGACTCATCGTCCCTCTAGTTTCGTCGGCTGTATGCAGGACATTGTAGTAAACGGGAAATGGATTTTCCCTGAAGAACAAGTTTACGATCAAAACACCAATTTAACTCATATTCAAAGTGGTTGTCCTCGCACTGAACAATGCGATCCGAATCCTTGCCATGAAAACGGCAAATGTACTGACTTGTGGCATACTTTCGCCTGCACATGTCAGCGTCCGCATTTCGGTCATACGTGCAAATATAGTGAGAATTACTAAAAAAAAAAAATTTAAGGGCGAACTTTCATCGCCTTTTTTCTGTTCTTTTCTTCTCACATAGATATAACTGCAGCCACTTTCGGTCATGAAAACACATCGCACTCAGCCGTAGTTGTAGAGACCAATGACAGCGCTCGTCGTGCCATACGTTCTATTTTAGATATATCAATGTTTATACGTACACGGCAACCTACCGGTCAAGTTTTCTATTTGGGCAGTGATCCCCGCAAAGCTGCTTCCAAAGGAGCAGGTAGATTTTAATTGTAATACAATGATAATCTTTTTTCAGCTATTTGCTTTTAGATTTTGGCAGCTCTTACGTCGCCGCTAAGTTGAAAGGTGGTGAACTATTAGTTAAAATGCAATTCAATGGGACTCCTGAGGCTTATACAGTGGGCGGTAATAAACTGGACAATGGCTACAATCATCTAATTGAAGTAGTGCGCAATCAAACATTGGTGCAGGTGAAACTCAATGGGACCGAGTACTTCCGCAAAACTCTGTCTTCGACAGGTTTACTGGACGCACAGGTTCTATATTTGGGTGGTCCCGCACCTACTGTCACAGCGGCTGCCGATAGCATTGCAACTACTTTGCCAGTTAGTGAATTAAGTACAGAATATGCTCCGGTGAAACCAGAAGACTATTTCAAAGGCATCATACAAGATGTTAAAGTTAGTAATGGTTCGCATACTATGATTGTGGAATTATATCCTCTTGAAGAAGAGGATTTAGCCTTACCGCCACCATTTGGCATTATTACAATCGATCGTTCCTCTGTTTTGAAAGGTGAGGTTTCAGATGATTTGTGTCGTAAAAATCCCTGCAGGCACCACGCCAATTGTAGCAATACATGGAACGACTACATATGTAAATGTCCTAATGGTTACAAGGGGAAAGACTGCCAGGAAATTGAATTCTGTCAATTGGTTAATTGCCCGGGTGACAGCCGTTGCGAGAATTTGGATGATGGTTATGAATGTTTGACAAACATAACATTTAGAGGAAATGAAAAGTCACCCTTAGCGTTTATTTTCCAACCTGAACAACCCAATGAGGAATTTAAACCCAAGCTAAAGCCAATGATTGAAATTGCTTATCGAACACGAGCTGGCGGTACTTTATTATATATAGAAAGCCAAGAGAGTTTCTTTGAAATTGGGGTTAATCAGGGCCAAGTGACGGTTATATGGAAATTAAATCAAGATCCTTTAGGAGATACCAAACGCTTCAGCAAAGATAATTGGGATGGAAAAGACTGGAGTCATATATTTTTAAGAGCCCAAAGTGGTAAATTAGAGGGAGGTTGGAAGGGTTGGGAAAGTATGGTTGATCCTTCCCCAGCCTTTTCAGCAGATATTGATTTGAACGCCTTCCAAGATTTGTTGTCGAGTGGAGCTCAAGTATATTTAGGTGGCATGCCTAACGATAGCCATCAACTTAGGGGAAGTTTGTACTCCCAACAAGGCTCGCAATTTAAGGGATGCCTAGGTCAAGCAAGAGTTGGAGATCTTTTGCTACCGTATTTTAGTAACGAAGAAATGTATCCACGCATTAAAAATGTTTCTGGTCAACCTAAGCTACAATTTCATTTGAATTCAATTCGTCCTGAAGAAGGCTGTACATTGTGCTTCCTAAATGACTGCAAAAATGGAGGATATTGCCGTGAACCTTCGGCTGATTATGCCTGCACTTGTCAATCAGGTTACGATGGCGACGACTGTTCTAATGATATCGATGAATGTTTGACAGCCGAGTGTCTCAACAACTCGACCTGCATAGACAAAGTTGCAGACTTCTTATGCAAATGTTTACCGGGCTACGACGGGCGTTACTGCGAACACGATATCGATGAGTGCGCGTCTGAACCTTGCCATAATGGTGGCAATTGCACGGATTTAGTGGCCGCTTATCATTGTGATTGCACTGAAGATTATGCAGGACCGCAATGTGATATTTTAAAACAAGTTACATGTGAGAATCAACCCTGTCGAGGCGGTTCTTCTTGTAAGGATGGAATGAGTAAGTAGAAGCTGAACGTTAGAATCATAAGCGTTGTTAAAATATTCGGTGTATATGCCGTAGACTCAATGACTGGAAATAATTTCACTTGTTCTTGCGTGGACGGCTATGAGGGTCCCCTTTGCGAGACGGCGTTTTGTGAAATTACCCCATGTTTAAACAGTGGCTTATGCATTGTTAATGAATCAACGGTAGGTTGACTTAAAGTAATGATTTTCGACCTCCAAAAAAAAAAAAAACTAATAAAATAATTTATGTCGACTATTACTTTATTAGGTTCCAATGTGCCAATGCAGTTTGGGTTATGCTGGTCATTTATGCGAACGCGACATAAATGAATGCGAATCAAATCCTTGCCTGCACGATGGCCAATGCCACAATTTGGTGGGAGGCTATGAATGCAATTGCACCGGTACCGGTTTTGAGGGGTTAAATTGCGAAATTGATATCGATGAGTGTGCGACGGGTGTAGAATATTGTGGAGGTTTGGGCCGTTGCATTAATCAGCCAGGTTCCTTTAAATGCATATGCCAGGATGCGTTCTGTGGCGCCTATTGTAATTCGACTGATCCCTGCAAACAGCCAGGTGTACAGTTATGTATGAACGGTGGTGTGTGTATAGAAAATTGCAGCGAGGAAGCCGATTATTATTGCAATTGTACCGATGGTTTTACAGGCAAAAATTGCACGGTAGTAGTAAGTGATTGGCACCTTTTGAAAAACAAACGAGAAATCGAAAGAAAATAAATTCATAAATATGCTTTTTTTTTAGATGAGCTCTAAAGAAGAACCTAGTCCTGCAGATATTGCAATTATTGTGGTACCGGTCGTAGTCGTCTTGTTAATGGTGATGGCCGCTCTCTTGGCCACATTTCTGGTAATGGCTCGCAATAAGCGAGCTACCCGTGGCACTTATAGTCCAAGCGCCCAAGAGTATTGTAATCCCCGTTTAGAAATGGATAACGTTTTAAAACCTCCGCCAGAGGAAAGGCTCATTTAGTCAATAGGCAGACTATTTAATGAATATTTATTAAATTTTTTTTTTTTTAGATGTTAAAATTTTAATAATAATATCTTATATTTCACCCATGTCCATGTTAAGTTTCTAACTTAAACGTAAGTATCTAGTTAAACGAAATTCTATATTTTAAAATTGTTAACTGTCTGTAAGAGAGTGTCTGTTTTTGTTTAGGTGCCAATATATTTATGAAAAATATTGCCACTTTCAATTTACTACTCTTAGAAAACAAATAAGGAAATTATGACTTAATTTTTTTTTTTTAACTCTATATTAAAATATGTATTAATAATTTCAGTATTTATTTTTTAAGTTAAAAGTGAGCAATAAATATTTTTCTCTTTCCAATTTAATAAAAAAAAAAAAAATTTTCATTAAGGTCACAAATATTGGAAAAAGTGTTCCAATCTAACTTCATTTATTTATATGTAGCTATGAAATCCGCATTATCCGTTTCAAAATTGCCTGCATTTTTTTTAATTCCCCATAAGTATCCAAAAATTTCAAATTAATAAATTTTTTTTTATTTTAATTTATAATTACTATTATTGCATACTTTAATATATACACTTTAATATATATATTTGCATATATATATATGTATATTAAAATAACTTGTGTAAAATGAGACTGTAATATATTTAAATAATAAAAACAAACCAATTTAAAAACCATAGAAAAACCGTTTCGCACTTAACTTGAGCTACACTTTTATATAAAATATAAAAGAGAAAAAATATTGTTCTATGATTCAATGGACACTTGAAAAGCGTTTTAGACAAAAAAACGCAAGAGAACGCTTGAGATTCTTTTAAAGAGAATGAATTATTCACTCAACGCCTTCAACGGTTGTTTGAAGAATGACAACCCAGACAAATATGAGTACAATTTTAAATTCATTGTCTCCGCGCTTACACTCTTTACATGGAGGAATACATCCACTCATCACTTGTGCGGATGTGTGTAACACGCAGAAGGGATTAAGATAGATCCACCGTTTATTATACCGATTTAAGCCCGTTTGTCTGTCTGTTCATGTAAACTTGCGTCCTAGTTATGGATCCCAATCTTGAAGATATTTTGATAAAATTCGGTACACTGAAGTGTTTTGACGCAAGGACGAACTCTATTTAAAATGGTATGGGTCAGTCTACTTTTCAATTTTCGAAAATTTCTCGACAAACGTCATTTCAATATTTCGTGATGAAAATTATTTCATAATAACAACCTCACATCAATCTTACGAAATTTGGACCACGTAGATCTATTTTTTGGATATCACCGCATGTAAAGATTCTTCCAATTTGAAGACTTTCATGAAAAGTACGCCTTTGCAGGAAAATAATATATAACTGTTGGTATATTGTTACCAAAACGAGTGAATGATTATATTAGACGAAGTTGTGTATGGTATTTAACGATCGGCCTTGTCCGCCAATAATATTCTTAGTTGTTTTGAACTTGGAATTTCTCAAAGACACGCACTAAAATTTCCATTGATTTTTAAACCCTACACCACCTGTGGTACAATGATATATTAAGTTTGTGCAGACGTATGTAACACGCAGAAAGGATTAAGATTTCTTTATTATACCGATGTAAGCTCTGATATCTGTCTTTGCATCAATCTTAGTTTGATGGAATTTGGAACACTGACGCACCTTGACCCAAGGAAGAACGTTGTTTTAAAATAGTTCGAAACAGACAAATTTTTCAACCAATCCCCAAATAGTGCAATTTTCAAAATTTAGCGCTGATCGCTGAGTAATAGTATTTAAGCATTCTAAATTGATGTGAAAACGGTGGATCGGATGAGGGAACTTTTGGAAACCCTTAGCACTAAATTTAACCTTACCGAACTTCGCCCATGTAATGGAAAATCAGTGTCTGTATACGATTTGCAATGTATTATGATGAAAACTGGTTCTTAGTGAGTTAATCATAGGGAATTTGCATCACGTAGGTCTATACTATAGATCGCGCCATATAAAGCAGCCCTCATGAGAGAAAACTTTTTTTCCTCAGCGACAAACTCTAAGTTGTGGTTGGTTATGACGGAAGCGAGTGACAAAAAATAAAAAATTTGAGAAGGAAATTAAGTTTCCTAAATTTTGATCACATTGACGGTTGAGTATCTTCCGATATGAACACTTTCACAAAAAATAGTGCATTTATTCAGAAAACAAGAACTCCATAGTCGAGCAAGGCCGACCATTAGATACTCTAAACTACCTCGCCTAATACAATTATTCACTCTTTTTTATAACAATTCACCAACAATTAAATGTTATGTTCACGCAAAGGCATACTTTTCATAAAAGCACGCATTTTGAAGGTTAATTTGCTTCCTAAAAGACTTCCTCGCCGTATAAGAAGACTTGCTTTTCCTAATAACCCCTATGTGCGTTAGGATCTGAAAAATAGATCTATGTGACCCAAAGTCCCTATAGTTAATTTTTGTGCTAAATTACAAACCAAATTACTGAACCAATGTTCGTCATCAAATATTAAAAATTATATCTTTTTTCTTTTCTTTTGATTCAAATTTTAGTCCGCTTAGTTTTTATAGCAAATTAGTATTACGAACAAATTTTCATCATAAAACATTAACATTTAGACCTTCTTGACATATAAAGGTTTACATTTCCTGAGAATCCTTATAGGTGGTGGTGTACCAAAAATAGACCTATGTGGTCCGAATTCGATAAGGACATTTTTGCGTCGATTTACTATTGCGAACCAATTTTCACAATCGAATATTAAAATTTCTATCTTTTTACTATGTAAAGATTCAAATTTCGTATGTGGTTGTATATGAGAGGGTTAAAAAAATTGACCACGATGAACCAAATTTGTCATAGCAATTTAGGATGCCGAAATACTGTTACACAGCAAGTTTTGTTGAGAAATTTCGAAAATTTCAATTTTTTTCCCTATATCGAACTTAAAATAGGCTGTTATGAGAGGAAAAATGGTGCATTCGTCCTTAGGCGAAACCACATCAGTATACCAAATTTCATCAAAATATCTTAAAAAATTGGCTTGAAGCTGCACACAAATTTACACGAACACACATTAGACGGACAGACAGATAGATTTAGATCGATTCGGAAAATAATTCCAATCCGACCGTAAAAAAATTTGGTCTATCTTAAGACCTTCTGCGTCTTACCTACGTCCGCATAAGATTAATACATCCTACACCAAAAATGATGTAGGTATAATGGGTATGCGACTGTATTAAGCGAAGTAGTGTACGATATCTTTCCAATGGTCAACTCCGCGCAACTACAGCATTCTCACTTTTTTTTAATATGTTGTCTTTATCACCTATACCATTCATACCACGTATACCGTATATATACGGTGGTGGACATGGATTTAGAAAATTTAGTACAAAAGCCCTTATTAGACGATTATTTGTTTCACTTTTCATTTCTTTGATCGGTGCTTTTTCGTTCGAGTTAGGTGCGGTTTGAAATGAAGGTAACGTCACTTTTCTTTGGTTGCTTTAATGCGTTTAAAAGTTTCTTCACGGAATAAAGTCTGGACAGTAATTTAGCACTAAATGCTAAACGTAATCTTATTGAAATTGTGGTGCGCAATGCTGGTCATATGAAAAACGAAACGAGTTTTGGTGTAAATTTATTTACGGCTGACAAAATTGAAAATCGAAAAGCTGGTTCTTTTCCTTGATAAGTTACAACAACAAACAAACAAATGAAATGTCGAAAAGCCATTAAAGAGATTCGCAAATTTACTGAGACGGAAATGGGCGCTTCATGATATACGAATCGATACCCGCTTGAATAAACATATCTCGGTATGAGGTAAGTTAATTTTTAGTGCTCTTTTTAAATTGACGAAACTGATAATTGTATTATTTCCTAAAACAATAAGTCTATGCTCGATCACGTTCGCGTGCGTTTACTAATAAATTATTAACTAATAAATATGTACTGATTACTTATGTTCCGGTGGCCACATTGAAAAGATTAAAACAATGATTTACTGTAATGGATAGAAAAGGCTTTAAATGCAAAATTTTATACAATAATTTGTGCCGTCTTCGTATGCTCTAACCAATTTTTTATGTTCTTGTTCAATAAGAAGAATTGTTTAGCTTTACTTAAGTCGCTATTGTGTTTAGTTTAGCTAATTACGAGAAAAATAGCCGCAAACATACATAATAAGTATACAAATTTATTAGTCTCATTGTTATTGTTAAATAAAGGCAAATAATATTATAAAATAGAAGTATACACTCAAATTTTACGAGTTTGGTACAACTTCATGGAATTATTTGTCACTTTCATTTCAGTTTGACACAATTTCCTGGGTTTTTCGATACATTAAGAAAAACACTTGTGAAGTATGATGGTCTAAACATTTAATATCTATTCGGTGCTTTTTTTATTACATAATCGAGTCTATTTCTATTGTTTTATGTTTTTTTCGTTTTCAGGAAACGTGACAGAGAACTGCAGGTATACGTCAGCAGGAACTGCGAAACTAAAGGAAGAATTGAATTTACGGTTATTGTGCAATAATGAGTGGCTTTAAGAATTTTAAAACAAATTTCATTTTAAGAAACTACGATAAATTATTTATAGTAGAACTGGATAAAAGTTTCAGCTGATGTGGCGGCAGAAGGTACTATCCTTAATGAAATGTTAGAAATCGTAGATTTCAAAATACTGGCGGCGCAATTGTTAATTACTATCTGTTCTTACTCCTTTCCCAGTTCAGGCAAGTAAAACTCAAAAAAAAGAAATAATAAATTAGAGACGTTTTTAAGCTTAAATGGGTTTTTGTTTTCTTGAAATCCGATAAAAATATTGATTTCAATTCGCAAGATAATTTTTTTTTTTTTCAAGATTATGCCAAAAGGAATCCTAATATATTTAAGTATAAATACGTTTTACTCTTTAGATCTTACGAATCATATAAAAAAAAAAAAATGCTGCAAATATATTTATAAGTGTAATTACTCTAAAAAACTTGAGCATTGAAATTAATTAAATGCATCTTAAACTTAGTTTTACTTATAGGGGAATATATTTTTATATATTCTCTCATAAAGATTCCTTATGAACAATATACTAAATGACAATAATGTGCTCTATTTTTGTTTTATATTTTATCTGTTATCTGAATTTGTTCTTTTTTTTTCTCTTTTTAATTTGTTTTAATTGGTTTTTTATGATTTTGCTGAGAAAAATATAAGCTGCACAGCGCCATACACATTTTAACACAGAAAAGTAAACAACAATTTATATACAAACTAAACGCTATAATGAATTAAAAGAAAAAAAAAAGGTTTATGAGCGACTATTTTAACAAATTTATTGAAAACGGTTTTGAACGAAACTAAAACATTTTAAATTTTATTTTGAATTTAATAAAAATTAATAAAAAAAAGCACATTTTTTTCTCTTGTGGAGGATGTTTATCTACGTGTGCTGGCAAAGGAAGTAATGGCGCGTACTAGGTTTGATCTTCGCTCTTCGCAGTGCCAGAAAGGTCGACTTAGATAGACCCATCATTCTTTATACCGATCGAAAAGTCATTCTGGATGTTTTATACGTCCGCATAAACTTATTTATTTATTTTTTAATGATGCAGAGCATTAAATGGTCGATTTGTTCTGCTATAATTACGTTCACTAGAGAATGCAACGAACTTTCTCTTTACGTTCGTTACGATCAAATTGAATACAATTAAATTTTACTAGCATTACCTTATCTAGAGCTTGTCCTTTCAAGAGATCTTGGACAAAGAAAAAGAGCAAATATTTTCTGTAGGTTTTCCAAAGTATTAAGCGAACAATTTATTTAAATAATTTTTTTTTTTTTTTTTCAATATTATTTTCTTAAAGAATACCATTATATCAATAATTTTCAAAACTCGCAATTGCTATTAAATCGGACCGCTTGTCTTAATTTTTAAAAGCAGTTTCCTGATTTTTCTTTCTCGCTTCGATGTGTCTACTGAGCCTAACTTGTTCATAAGTTTTTTTTTTCTCACTACTTTCTCTTTTTCTTTTTCACATGTATTGATGAAAATGAAAAGGTTCTTAGAGAAATGTATTACATGTTAACTCTGACTCTCGTTATGCAAACTGAAAGTTTTTGACTACAATTTTTTTGTCATTTTCATAGACGCGAGACATACATGTGCATTTGTTTTATATTGATTTAATTAATCGAGAGTTTACGTAATACTTTTCCACGATTAGAATTATTTACTTTGTTTATTAAACTTTATTTAAGAACTTTTATTACACTTTGATCAAATGTTGAATTTATATACATACATATGTATATATGTATATATAATAATTTATTTTGCTTGTTTTGTGTTTTTTTTTTGTTTTGTATTTTCGCTCTTTCAATTATTTCGTTAAAAACCATACGCTACCATTTATTTATTTATTTTTATTTTTTTTGTTTTTTGAAATTTAAAACGAAAAACTGTTACGAGTTTTGACAAGCTTTACCTCCTAGACAGGGGCTAAATTTAACTTAATTGAAACACCAGCTTCAATTTATTGAAGCGACCCATTTGAATTTACTGCTACTGGGCAATTCCTGATGAGAGAACAAACATTCGAATTTGTTTATGCAGTTTTTACCGTAACGGCATGGTTTAGGATGATAGAATGGACAAGTGGACTTTGTGCAATTTGGAAAATATTTGCATGTAGTTGATGAGACTGGACCCATAGTGGTAGTAGCCGATATAGACTTGTAATTTTGTACGGGCACCACATGCGAAGCTGAAAACGTTATCATTTCATTATTTATTCTAATATATAAATAAATAGAAAAGAGAAAAACACTCACATAGAGGCGGTGCTGAAGATTCTAAAAGACTGGCTCTGCGCGGTCCGCTGTGCGAGAAATTACAATCCAAGTTGACGCAAGCCAAATCGTATTTGCATTTAGGATGCGAGTACATGCATTTATCGGCATATTTGCAATTTGGGAAACTTTTGCAAGGTGCGGAAGGATGATAATATTCACAGAAAGTTTTCGTGCAATTCGGATGATATTTGCAGCGTTCTTTCGGTTTTAGAGAGCGATAGGCACCAGAGTCCACCGACACAGAATTTACTGCAAAAAGATTAAAAAATTCATATAGTAGTTTTTCAAAGATCCCCTCTCCTTTTTCGTGCTTACACGACGACGGTATATTGTCATATTTCTTAGCTTCTGAGTTACGAATTGAAATTTTACGTTTTTCTTCTCTTCGCTCATGCGAAGAATCCCGATCTTTTTCTCGACTTTGCCTAGAATTGCGTTCACGTTCACGTTCTCGGTTATGCTCCTTTTCCCGACTAGAAGAACGTCTTCTCTTAGCTGTTATAGGACTATTGCAAGATCTTTCACCGTCATTGTCGCCACGTCTACTCTCGGTTAAGTCAAATTTAATAGGAGTATGTTTGCGTTTGAGAGGTGAATTCGAAGTGCTTGTAGCATTTGTATTACTAGAAATAATACTTCTTTCCTTTTGATAGAGTTGATCTTTTAATGGCGGCGTTGTTGATCTCATGCTGTCATTATTATTCTCTTCTTCCTCATTGCCGTCAACGTCGATGAGCTTATGACTTTTGTATTCTATATCATCGTGTTTGCGTTTTAATTTTTTATCCTTATCCGGCGTGGATTTCTTAGTAGGGCTCATATCATCGTCTTCCGAGTCATTCTTAATAATTATTTTTTGGATGTCTTTATGTTTGCGATAAATTTCAACCAATTCTGTGCGCCTTAAAGGCGGTGTAGTAGCCTCGTGACGAGAGACTAAAGACTTGGGTTCTGCCGAAGAATGTGAACTCGAGTAAGACCCTTTAAGGGATAAACGTTCTTTAACGCTGGCCTTGCGTGCATGATTTGAATTGGAAGTTGAAGTGGGTTCGCGATCACGTGACGATGATGAGGACGAAGACACTTGAGGCGGTGGTGACAAGGAACGTGAGTAGCGTGTAGCGGCAGTGTGACGCTTTAATTTGGGCAGTGCTTTATCCTCTGTTTGAAGAGACGCATAAAATGAACATTAATCAAAATTTTTTAATTTTTCTTTTTCTTACCATTTAAAGTAACCACAAATTGCGTTTTTTCTACAGAGCTTCTAACTTCTCCATCCTCACCTTCCTCATAATCTGGTTCCGGATGTTCATACACATCATCAATTTCTTGCTCCTCCGAAGTTCGTATTGTCTGTGGCACATAGACATAATCTTGGTCAGATTCACCACGGTCAGAAACCGATTCTGGTATATATTCCTCATTTTCATTGTCCAAACGTAATTTGTATTTTTGTTTGGAACCACCGCCACTGCTATTGCCACTGCCATTTACCTCTACTATTAGGTTTTGAGTCGTACGACGAAACAAAGCACCCATACCACCAGCTAAGTTTTTTAAACGGTCACGATAAGACTTCGTATACAGTTTAGTATTACGTTCTCCTTGAACTCGTTCACCCAAACGTAGACTTACTTTAGACTTAGTTGGAGTCGTTGCAGCGTTAGTAGTGACAACTGGTTTATTTAGTATAGTTGACCGTTGAGCCTCAGCCACTGCTCGTAGTAGAAGATTCTTCGGAGCTTGCTTGCTGGGCGACATTGGAGGACGTGGTTTGATCTTAATAACCGAATTCACCGGTTTGTCGTTAAGTTCCTCCTCGTCCGATGGTTCAATAGCTTTGACTGGAGCTGAAACAAAGTCGAACAGTGAAAGACAGCCACCGAAAAATTTACGTACCTAACCAAAAGTCTACATACCTATTATTACACGCGAACCAATCCGACGGCGATGAGTTGTAGTAGCACTATTTGTGGTAGTTTCCGGAGAGGCATCAGCGCTGCTACTACGTGCACGACCACCGCTAGCTGGGGTCGTAGTTGTTATTTTACGGACTTGACTGGAATTACGTTCTTCGGCACGCGAGACGTCGGAATTCGAACGTCGTTTAATGTGTTCCTCTAATGAACGACTTTGCCGCGAGCGAACCTTCGAATTGTCTCTATCCCTGTCGCGGCTTCTATCAATACGTCTCTCACGTTCTCTACCTCTTTCGCGTGCACCCCGCTCGCATTCACGGCTTCGTTCTCTTTCCCGTTCCCGTTCTCTTTCCATTTCTTTACGCCTAAATGCCGGCACATAGAGCTCTTTCTCCTGCAAAATTTTGCGCCTTTCCCTAGGAGCCAAAGGCAATGACCGCTGTTCTTTGGGGTTAGAAGCGATAGTGGTGGTTTTAACGCCCAAACGTTCATGCACCGGACGTTTTTCATTCCTGACAGATTGCGTGGAATTTGTGTTATTAGAAGCAGCAGCGGTTGCTGAAGATAGTTGAGGAGGTGGTGTAAAACGTTTACGTTTTGAAGACGATTGTTTTTCATCGTTGTTGTCTTCGTTATGTCCTGGTTCTGTAGTTTCCTGGTCAAGCTTTTCAGTTGAATTACGATCAAAAACAATTGGACTTTTCTTTTTGCTTTGTTGAGTTGCAGGCGGCGTAACCGAGTCTTTTCTGACAAGATCGCCAGCCTCATTGAACGCTTCGCGGCTGTCATCATCGCGCAGGTTAAGAAAGTCTTCATCTTCATCAAGTTCACCCAACTGTTTCAGTTGTTTTTTAGCAGCATATATTTTTTTTTGTATCTCAGCTAATTCTGCTAAATCCTTTTCGCGGCTGTTTCCCGCATTACTTTCTTTATTATTTGCTCCACCGGCAACTGCGGAATTCCCACCACACGTTGTAGACGATATTTCAGATATAGTAGGTATATCAAATTCGTTGGTAACTTTACCGGTTTGCTCAGCCATAGATGAATTGTCCACAGAATCTTCAGGAGTTTTTCTGCCTTTTGTTTTTTTTATATTTAAATTTGCGTCGGCTTGTAAGTCTAAATTTTGCTTAGCTTTCTCTAAGAGCTCTTCAGCGAAAATGTCGGTAATGCTACTAGGAGGTTTGATTGTCGCATTTCTTTCGGGTGTAGTTGAAATATTATCCTTTGATTTTTTTGCAACAGGATGTTTCTCTTTCTTCGATACCTTTTTCTCCTTTTTATTGGAAGAAACGGCTGAGGAAGATGCTTCATCTTTTTGCGAAGATTTACGCTTTTTGGCCACTATGGAATTTATGAGTAACAACTTTTATCATGAACTCGAAATCTCTTTTATTTAACTCACCACTTGCTGCGGGCAAAGTAACTTCTTGTAATTTTTGCAATACTTCATGCAACCATATGACAAAGAGCTCTGTTTGCGTACCCAAGAACAAATTGAGGTCGGCTATCATTTGTTGCTTGGATCTCTTATTAGCCACCATAATCATAACATAATCCGGCAGTTCATCATCTATGTAACCCGCTGAGCCACCCGTACCCAATTCAAGCAATTTAGCCTTGACGGCACTCTAAGATTTTAATGCACAAGATATTAATGTAAGTCAGCGAATTTTCTTTGAAAAGTATTTATTTAGCAGTTCATTGATTTTTTTCACTCGGTGACAGTAAAACTTACTCTCATTTTCTGACCAATTTCATTGCAATAGTTATCCATAATTTTAGCTTTACTAGTTTTGGAAATTTGCAAACTTTAATTAAACTTTTACAAATAGTTCTTCCTTTAATTATTAAGCATAATATTTTCAATTATTTCCTTAAAGAAATAAATTTTTGCATTTGTCGAAGGAAAAAATTATAGAAAAACTTCACGCCTGCTGTTTGTCACTTTTGCCTCACAAAAACAGGGTCGTTTGTTTGTTGGTGAATTAAAAACTAATTCCTCAATATGCATTTATGCAAAAACTTGATGACTCTATCAGCTGTTTATTAAATAAATCTACATTTTTTCCTGGTTTTTTGTTTTTTTTATTATTGAATTTGGAATAAAGAAGAAATATGTTAAATTTTTTAAATAATTTGAAAAAATAATGAGTAATATCTCTTTACATCAAATAGACAATATATACAATGAATTATTTAGAAAGTTTGTGGAAGGTGTTGAAAGTGTCAACGTTGTAGACTTTCAGCATTTAAATGTAAATAAAGAACGAAAAGTTACTTCCGAAAATGATATCTGGATATTTGGCTACGGATCACTTATGTGGAAGGTTGATTTCCCTTATGTAGATTGTCAAAGCGGTTATATTTGCGGCTATTTACGACGTTTTTATCAACACAGCATAGATCACCGTGGAACAAAAATAAAACCAGGTCGAGTCGTGACACTTATAAAAGCTGAATTAACAGATCGTGTTTACGGATTGGCATACCGAATAGCTGTTAAGGATAAAGAGAATGTATTAAAACATTTAGATTATCGCGAAAAAAATGGATATCAAAGGTGCGAAGTTACATTTCATAAATTTCCGGATGATTCTAAGGAATCAACTTTAAAAATTCTTATATATATTGCCACACCTGGCAATGAATCTTGGGCTGGAGAAGGTGACGAGGCTAGTGTAATTAAAATCGCAGAGCAAATATTTACTTCCGTTGGTCCTAGCGGTACTAATCGAGACTATTTTTTCAATTTATTGCATACTATGTTAACTTTATTTCCTGGGATAAAGGATAATCATTTATTAGAAATTGATAATGAATTACAACGACTTATCTTAACATGCGAAACCAAATTATTAGAGAGAGCATTAAAAAAAGAAATTGCTTTAACATTACACTCATTAGGAAATAACATACCATTAAACGATGACGCGGTTCAAGGACAATTATATCAACTTATAAAGCATTGTTCTAAAGTAGGTTGGAGAGAAGAACTATTAGTAAAAGAATTGTACTCAGGTAAAGAAAAGTGATATAAAATTCGATATTCCACATATTATTTTAAATATAAATTTGTAAAATAAATAAAAATTTACAAAAAGCGCATAAATTTTTATATTTACGAAGACGATATAGTTATGTAAGCTTACTATATTTTGGCGATATTAAAAATGGGTAAGTAGGCATTGCACTTTGCAATAAAAGAATTCACAAAACATTTAGATGGTAAATCGGAATTAAATTGCCGAAATTTTACCTAACGTAACGTATTTTATTCATAATCCTAGAGAGCTTCCAAAGCGTTTTGGTCCGTTTATTTTCCAAATATTCACTCTTAACTCGCTCACCCAAGTTTCTATTGTATTATCTTGTTGTTGTGTTGATAATCGGCGGAAGAAATTGAATCCGAATAGCTTACCCTCCTTCCAGTTTTTCTAAATCTTAATCAGCTTTGAATTGATTTTTCTGTTGCGGCTTTATTTTTAATTTCTTTAACAATTATTTCTATTAATCGTATCCTTAAAAATAGCTTTGCTTCGAAACTTTTTAAAGAACTACACTGAATGTGCCATCTCTACCTTCTCTTCCTTTTACTGCATCTCTCGCATAATAAGAGCATTTCACAAACTTAATATTAGACAAGTTCTGAAAAATTTCTTTAATCGCTTTTTGAAACCCTTGGTAGTGTTCATTCTTTTTTAAAGAAAATTCTTTTAAAAATGACTACATACATTATTACCGAATTTCTGACATTTTAAATGTGGTCTATTTATAAACCGTCTGCGTTTACCTAATAAAAGTACTGCTTCATCATTTTTATTATCTGTTATTGTTATTTGTGTTTTGACTTTATGAACAATTTTATATAAAATAGAGAAGTTGTCATTTGATTACTCCTCCCGAATTGCTCTCAATTGTATCAGCATAATGTATGTTCTTTTTTTTTTTTTTTTTGAATAACGTCTAACCTAAAACATCTGGGCTTACATATTGGCAAAAGATTAACATGGAGAGATCATACTAAAATTAAGCGCCAATGAATTTGTTTGAAAAAATAGCAGATTTTATTGACTAATTTGTTTGGATATTTCATATTTTGTTTCATATTTCATAAAATCGAATTCAAAATTTTCTTAAAAAATTTCTTTTTTTGATTTTCAACCTTTTTTCTTGCCCCTTTTATAATTTTTTTCGCTATCAGTCACTTCTTACAACCTCTTCTGTATTGTGAAATGATTTTGAATTGCATTGAATTGAATTTTCGTTAAAACAGCTGAAAGCCGCCATCTGACTTTTCCCTTTACATCTGTTCCTAATAAGAATTCCCGTCAAATTTGGTTTTTGAATATATTCGTAAATATCCTCTACCATGAAAAATATCCCCGACATGCAAACTATTTCATACATGTTTATATTTGTAAATATCTCAGACAATACAATTGTATACATGAATAATAAAAATGTCCCGACTTTCAATAAATGCAGAGAAAAACACAATAAAGGAGAAAACAGTAAATTTTCTGATTCTGATTGTGTTGGTGTTTATTCTCAAAAGTTTTATATGATAATTGCGTCTCTGTTCTGCATACCAAATTTTAAAAGGATCTTCTTTTTGAGTTCGAATTACTGATAGCACCATTTTCGAAGGGAACAAGTAAGAAATTTATATTTGACTGGGGCCGTATCTCGCATACCTGCCACCATTAAAATCTCTGTAAAAGAAGGTTAATGGGATAATATTTTTCTTTCACTTTCTATTTCATTAGAAGGTATTTTTAAGAAAAATTAATCTACCACATCATGACGTGCATCATAATTAATTTAGAATTGATTTCTTAGATTTTCGCGTTCTACTCTCTAAGCCCTTTTGTTACCCATAACGATAGTATTATGAAGGAAAATTCAATCCATTATATTTATTATTTATTAGCTTATGATTCACAAGCATAAAATCTCAAAAGAGTCGGAAAAAAAGGAAAATTTAATTACTTGTAACTTTGTATGGGGATGGACGATTTTTTCCATTTTCGCACATAAATAGTGTAGTTTCTCCTAACGTAAATGTGAAAAATTTCAGCTTTTTATCTTTCATAACTTGAGAGTAATGAGCATAAATCCAAAATCTTTCGCTTAGCGAAACGAAATTGCATTCAGTTTATGGTTAATTGCGAGCTTTCGCTCTGACCAATTTCGTTCATTTTCTATACCAATTAGCGGTCAAAGATTTCTTATGCTTCTATTAAATTTGAAGTCGATATCTTCATTTTTAAAATCAGGAGAGTGTCAACAACACACACCACACATACGGACAGACATGGCTTAATTAATACAGAATTTCATGTTGCTCAGGAATATATATACTTCATAGGGTCTTTGAAACTTCTTTTTGGATGTTACAAACCTTATGGCAAAATGAATATACATCTTCCTGCACCTGCTTAAGTGATGGGTACAAAAATTAAAATCAATTGTGCCATGATTTTTTCGCAAATAATCAATAATGAATAGTCCCTAAAGAATTTGACTTTATTCTGAGAATTTGAAACCATTTATTGATTATAAGTACCGTGCGACTAACTAACCAATTGCGTCACTGGAATTTTTGGTTGTTAATAACAGAAAAAGAAGACAAATTTAAAACATTCATAATTAGTTTTCTTTTATAGCAAACTTTTGAAAAATTGTAGAGAGAAGATATAGATCCAAATTTCTTATTTAGTGGAAGCCGTATCGCAGTTTGTTACCATGTCTCAGTTTCCTTTCCGAACTATGTCGACTTTGACAATTTCCAAAAATCGTTTTGGAATCGTTCGGTTTTCAAGAATATAACACACCGCTCAATAAGGTCGTAGGATTACATAGACTCGAACTGAAGACTTTTCGTATTGTTTTACAAAAACAAAAGTAGCTTGTAAAGCAATGATCGAATGTCATGAAATTTTAACACACATTTCGCTTGAGGAATGTGATAAGGATTCGTCAATAGTGGCTACATCTTATCCTACGATCTTATTAAGTGACGTATTATGCACTTAATCGACATTTCCAGACGTTTGCGAAGCGAATTACAGCTCGTGTAGACTGCTTGGTTGATTTGGATTTGGAAAACAAACTGTGTTAAAGCGTTTCTTCACATACTAGTCTTAATTGACAACAAGTGCAAATTCCATTAACAGAAGATTTTTACTTAAAGAAACATTTAATGATTTCGCAGTCTAACAATGAAACGACATTTATTAATACAAGTCAGAATATATTTATTCTTTAGTATATGTCCTCTTAAGTTTAACATATGCTTCGAAGATTTTTCTAATTTCCATTCATCGGTCATCTAAAGTTTGCGCTACCTGTTAGAACTCTTTAATGGTAAGAAAAACGGCTTTTACGCAGGAATACCTCATATATTTTTCTAGCGCATCGCCATAAGAACATTTTTACGTATCCAATTTATTCCAAAAGTTTGGATTAACAGTTTCATGATATTCATTCTGAATACGCCTGAGCGGCCGAGCAGGCAAAGGACCTCGACTAACAAGTCATTGGTCATGGGTGAAAATCTCAAGTGCGATAGAGTTTTCAATAAAGTCGATGGCCTTGGATGTTAGTGCTTTAAGACTTTGGTCTTATTATACATTTCTCTGACTAAATTTATAAAAATAATAATCTACTAATCTTCCTTGAAGGTTTTGATCACCTTTGGAGCTGAACAAACAAAGCTTATCTCATTCAGATAAGAAACAAGCTCGTAATGATCTCACTTTATTAATTCGTGGAAATGTCTGTAGCACTGGTTTGGAAATCATGAATCACCTGGGTTCCTTAAAGGACGCTAATGACGATTACGTCAAGCTTTACTAATTTTTAAAAGGTTAATTGTAAGTATGCTAAATCCTTCTAATAAATACCGGCCGAACTTTCAGTGTCCCGTAAAAAAGCAACTGCAACTCCAAAGTCCCTGTTAGCAAGTCGTTTCGGCGCTTTGATCTTTACTATAGCTAGTCGACTTTATTTTTTTTGCGACGAGGTGCCTTTGAAGGTAAAAATCTTTTTTAGGATTTTCAGGCCAAACGAAATGTTCGGTTAAATTCAAATGGATAGCAGAGTTTGTTTAGGCTAGAGAAAGAAGCCAAGGAAAGGTTTACCGAGGAAGCTTTGCCGCATCTAAACCACACACAACGCCTTGCGATTACCACTTGTTCAGATCGATTTTACATGACTTGCATCGCGGCACTCGGTCACGAAATTCTGAAGAATTTGCGAAAATTTGTCGATCGCTGCAGTATCGCCATGTTGGCCGAAAAATGGGAAAAAGTTGTCAAAAATGATGGAAGAAATTTTTTTATAATGTAGTGGAGCATTTTTTCTCAATAAATACGTTTTTTAAATGAAAAATTTTGCTAGTGCTCAATGTCTTTTTTTTTAGTCTAAGAATTCAATTCATTAGTCTAAAATTAAAATAATAATAATAATAATAATAATAAATGAAAAATTGATCAAAACACATATAAGCAACGTGAAAGTAGTTAAAATCGAACTTCAAAACAGATTCTATTGCTGACCTGGATTCTACAATAAATCACTTATGTTTCTAATATCAATGCAAAAAAAGATTCCAAGATTGTGGAAAAAAATTTATCTAAATATATTTAAAAGCCTGCATTCTCTTGCCGGAAAGCGGATGATTTCAAAATCCGATAACTTTCGAAAAGACCATTGCAAGGATCGAAGGAAAGCACATTCAACAAATTTAGACCTTACTGAGGAAAGGCATCTTGTGGGTTTAAAGTCCAATTTAAAGGATATCAGCCATTACTTCTTCTCAGCCAGCATAGCTTATTGTAAATTTATTATTTCTTTTTTGGGAAATTTCAGAATATTTTAAAACAAAAAAAACTTTTTACAAGAACTTAAACTAATTCTTAATCAATCAAAAGGAAAAAATTATCGGAAAAATTCTTACAACCAATATAGTTAATGGAAATTCGTTTTAAGCCGAACATTATTATTATTTGTCGTTCATTAAGGAAACCTTTAAAAATTT